TTACGGGTGTAAAGTATGACACATGTCAAAAGAGTATAAGGGTTAAACACATTTAAATAATAAATCATCATCATCAATATCCCATTACTTATCCCTCTCCTGGGTACGGGTCTCCTCTAAGGAAAGAGTTTATAGGCTGTATTCCGCCTTGCTAGCCCAATGCGGGCTGGGGAGTTCACACGTTTTCCGAAGGCTCTGAACCTTCTTCGACTTTTTTTATGGTACTAAATGACGTGACTCATGGTAAACGACACGCCATAAGCGTTGCAGTGCTACCCCGAGCTTTAAATCTCAAAATGCCACAGAACACGTTACCCTGAGACATAAGTTGACAAGTTCAATATGCCTGTAATTTCACCAGCACCCTTACCATCCCAACCGGAACGCAGTAATGCTCACATTACGGCTTGGCAGCAGAAATAGGTAAGCTGGCAGTACTTCTCAGGACGAACTCTCACAAAGAGTTTTACTGCTACTAAAACGTGCAGGTGTCATCACGATGTTTACCTTAATCGTTAGCGAAAAGTATTGCTACTAAACCTTTACAAATTACATTACCTAAAAAAGTTATAGGTACATACATGCCGCCTAGAGATTTGAACCGTCAACCTCTAAATTGAGGAGCAGCCGTTCTCCCATCGCTTTAATAAATAAATAATGCTAATTTCAAATTACATTATTACATGTATACACTATGTACGTTTCTTGTAACAAAAAATGATAACGATAAACGGAAAATTGAAAATATATTAAAATTAAATAAAATAAGACTTAATGATGAATACGAAACACCACCATAGAATAATACTAGAGTCGTCACCAAATAACTTAGAGGATGGAAAAAAATAAAGGAACCAATAGTCTAAGCCAAATAAGAGGCCAAATTTGAGACTTGTCAACTTATGTGATGTGGACTACTCATATCGGTAATCACATTATACGATTTTCATGAGAAATCGATTCAAAATTTTAAGAGTTTGTTATTGTTTAGATTATTTTTCGGTTCATTCTTGTTCAGGGAGCCTAAAAGGCCAAATCGTGTAATTCAGTTAAAAGCAATTCATTTACAGAATTCCTTGCAATTGTGTAGCAATTCCTCTTATTTTCGTAAAATTATCCCACATTCCGATGAATTGTATCCAATTCTTTTGATTTTATAATATTCATAAATGGTTTATTACGAGAATTTAGTGTAAATAAGTATGGTCATCAATAAAACAACTCCATAAGTCAACATTTTTTCCGAGAAATCGGAGTGACTCGGTAAAATTCGGCGATCAATTGCTTACAACACTATTATTTAAGAAAAAATAGCTTGAGAAGGTAACTGTTTTCAGGACGTTTTGGAGTAACTCAAAATTGCATTTTATTTGTTCGAAAACAGTGCTTCAAATATGTAATGTTTCAATAAAATTGATGTATTTTTTTATTTTTTTATATTATTTTATTATGCTAATAATTGTTTGTTTATTGTTACGTTGATCGCATTCAAAGTTACATACTATCGCCTTCTTTAGCCGTTAAAGGCCTCTTATTTGGTGACGACTATAGTGTGACTATAATTTTTGCACACCAAAGTAGGGAAATACATTATAATACAATTTACACAATTCCCGATGTTTTGTGCGAGATTATTGATACGACCATAACCTACAAAACGAAAATAGCGGACTGAGCTCAAGTTTGCGGACCTCCGCGAACTGTTGCCACACGTGCCACAATTGTGAGGTCCCTAGCCCATGAAAGAAAAAATCTTTTGTTGTCATTGTCAAGTTGTCATCTGCTAATGTCAAAGTCGATTTGCTGTGAAGTTGGCGGATCGGCATTGTAAACGTAAATCCTGTCTTTCTCTTTAATAATATTGCTTAAAATTATTATTGGTGTCGCAATTATAATACCGTGTACTATGCCAAATATTTTTTGACTTTGCATTATTATGTTGCAAGGGTTAATAATTGATCAGAACTTGTGAATGACGTAGACAAAAACCATGGTAAGTCTTGTTTATGTCCATTAGATAAAGCGATCCAATTTATCGTATTAATTGTCTAATGTATTTGCCACAATGTTTAGAGTTATCAGGACGAGGGTAATTGCTACGTAGACTCTTTTCCGAAGAATTTTAGTTACGGACCTTTTGAACAAAATGGGGATGGAGATAATACACCATTACAAGAAAATCACAAACCCCGGATCCTACTTATGGGTCTCAGAAGGTAACTGATTAAAGTGTTTTGGTTACATATTTGATTCAGGCATAATACCAAGGACGTTATTATACCTCCATTGTTCACATATACAATTTTACATGCCTACATTAGAAATGAAGTTTAGTGGAATTTTAAAACAGAGTGTACATTTTCAGATCTGGGAAATCATCTATCCAAAAAGTAGTGTTTCACAAAATGTCACCAAATGAAACATTATTTTTAGAGTCAACAAACAAGATTGTAAAAGATGATATCAACAACAGCAGCTTTGTTCAGTTTCAAATATGGGATTTTCCAGGGCAAATAGACTTCTTTGATACTAATTTTGATTCGGACACAATATTTGGTGGATGTGGTGCTCTTGTCTTTGTTATTGATGCTCAGGTATGATATATTGTTTACATTTTCTAGAAAGAAATAAGTGTAGTCTACAACAGAAGTTGCTGATTAATGCTTTAGATATTTTTGCTCAACTTTATATGATTGTGTGGTAGTTTATGTACAATAATAGTAACCCATTTTCATTTATGACACTGGAATGTTTTTGGTGTCCTTTTACATAATTTACACATAAAAAATTATTTTACAACAAACTATCAAAAACAACGAAAAAAATTTATAGATGCCATTTTTGCAAAATTAAAATCATGTCGGTTGATATATTGTTGCTTATCAGCATCTAAATATGTTTCATTGTTAAGACTGATTTAAGTAACTGTACACTAGACAATCCTCCATGATTCCATGTTCTCCAATTAAGTTAGATAAGTATAATTTATTTAAGCCTTTAAATACTAGAAAAACAATCATGGGCACTAATGCCTACTTAAGTAGTAAAGCCATATTAAACTCCCAAGTTTGGATCTCTTCTTTTAAGGGATGTTCAATAACAATTTAATAAGTTGTAACAATTTTTTTAGGAAAATGTGATTTTTGACCCATTACTTGTATAATAACATTATACAATATGCAACATGTGAAAATAGAAAATAAAAATCTGTGTTGGAGGTATCATTATATACACAAACTATGCTCAAATAAGATGTTCCTGAAAAGCATGAATCATGAATGATTCAGTAGTATAAAGTTATACATTTACACATAATGTTATAATATTTTTCTTTTATTGTGTTTAGGGGAGTTAGCATCGATTTTACTAATTTATTCTTAATATTTATTTCAGGATGATTATCAAGATGCATTGGACAAATTACAGTTGACTGTGACGAAGGCTTACAGAGTTAACAGCAATATTAAGTTTGAAGTGTTTATTCATAAGGTAAATTATACTCTAGAAATGTTTAGGGGAAAAATGCTTTTAAATTTAAAAGTATATTATTATTATACAAAGTTCAAACACAAAAAAATTTGCTTCAATCTAACAAGACTTGACATACAGATGGAGGTTCAAATCCTATCAAATGAAAGGAAATTTTCTTTGTATTAACAATTATAGCAACCTAGTAAAGTAATTTTTAAAAAAAAAAAAAATTATTACATGATGATATTCAATAAAAGTCAATATTAAAAGTATATTTTTTAGGGCAAATATTTACAAACATGTTTTCTGTTTGGGATAGCAAAATTCAAGGAATTTGAGAAATTCCCTCCACACCTTACATTGGTTTTAACATTAGACATAGGTCTGACCAATCTCATTGCAGTATTAATATTGTACTTAAGGGTTGGTCTGAATCCAATGGATACTTTGAATCGCAAAGAGACTGGATAGTTCAGATATCTGGTTCACACATTTACTAATAACTAAATATTGCATGTACATATAATATCTGATCCTCGTTTTTTAGGTAGATGGACTTAATGATGATTACAAAATGGAATCTCAAAGAGACATACACCATAGAGCTACAGAAGATTTAGCAGAAGCCGGCTTGGAACATGTCCATTTGTCATTCCACCTCACCTCTATCTATGATCATTCAATATTTGAAGCCTTTAGTAAAGTTGTGCAAAAACTTATACCTCAGCTACCAACTCTTGAAAATCTCTTGAATATACTCATATCTGTAAGTATAGCATTTTATTTTTAGTATTCTTTATATCCTTATTGTGCATTTTTTGTGTGTTTTTGACATGGATGATACCAAGTCAAACACACAAAAAAAAAATGGATGGATAGAGATAAAATTTCAACAAAAGTGAATATGGTCTTATTACATAAAATATATAATTGAGACTGCTGATTAGTCTGAAATAAGTAATATGTATATCTATTATGGCGTGTGCGTGTTAGCCACGTTCTTGGCTGGTTTTGATAAATGTGTGACTAAGTTACATTATTATATATTTAATAATATAATAAATAAATAATTTTGTATTTGATTTAGAAAATATTCTGTATTATAATACAGAATATTAGATAATTAAAAGGGAATGTATTACATCCGCAACAGTATAATATCATTGTCTGCAACAGTCACACAGATTTTAAATGTGACTCTAATGATATTGTTTGTGACATCCCACATACACCCATAACAAAGGTTCAAAGTCAAACCAGTACATTTCCTTGCATGTATAAATATTCTATTTTATAAGTACTTTTATTACATACCACTACAATGTTTCAGAACTCCGGCATCGAGAAGGCATTCTTATTTGATGTAGTATCTAAAATATATATAGCAACAGATAGCTCTCCAGTGGACATGCAGAGTTATGAACTATGCTGTGATATGATTGACGTAGTAATTGATATCTCTTGTATTTATGGGTATGTCATTTAATGCTTATGATAAACACTAAACTAATAAACATGACGGAACTACGTATATTGTTTATTAGTAAATATACATATACTTTTAAAGATATACAATATAGAAAATAAAGTGGTGAACTTTAAAAAAAAAAATATTTTGTCAGCTAGCATGTAAAGGAACCTTATTGGTACTTTTAAATTGTGTGCTTTGGTACACATCGATTAAGACCAATAAATAATACCCCTTACAATTTCGCTTTTACCTGCTTATTAGATTCTATTTAGATTTTGTTACCTTTAAAATGTTCAAATATAAGGAAACATTAAACGCCCTTGTGTACAATGGCCTAGTACCATGCTATTACTATAACTAAGCAATAAATTGAAGTCGTAAAAACGTAGAAGAAGAGTCGTAGGTAGTGGTACACGATAGCACCTAGTTAGCCTTAAAAAACTGAGCCAGGAAAGTCCTTCAGTTCTTTAACGTTGTTGGCCTTGGCTCTGAACTGTAATTAGTGGTGAGCATAATAGATCCGTCGATGGTCGCAGTAATGAGGTCTTAAATTAATAGACAAGGGGCGATAGATTAGGGGCGACGTTTAAATTAATTTTAAAAATCTATTTTTTCAGAATGGTTGATGAGAATGAGGTAAACACCTTTAACAACCAAAGTTCGAGTCTGATAAAACTAAACAATGGCACAGTGCTGTACCTGAGAGAAGTGAATAAATTCTTGGCTCTAGTCTGCATCTTACGAGAAGAGAATTTCCAGAAACAAGGTTCACACAGAAATTATTGCTGTCACTTTGGAAATATTTAAGACATAGTTTCTTAATTAGCATCATTCCAACATTGTAACTGCCTCTGTGGCCAACGGTTACCATGCCAGAATGTCATGCAGAGGTCAGAAGAGAAATAATTGTATGCCTACATTTATTTCTCTCGTGAGTTTGGGTGTAATTTGTGGTTGTCTATGTGTGTATCCACGGCACCCGCGACACAGGGTTTCCCTAATGCGGGGCTATGCGTTATTATTATTATTGATTTCAGGTGTGATAGACTATAATTTCCTGTGCTTCCGAGATGCCATAACACAAGTATTTGAACTTCGCAACAAGTGTCAAAACGCTGCCGTTTCCACACTGGCGAGATCCGGCACGCCCGAAGGCTTAGCTAACGGTGCCGCTGACTCAACCGAAACCACATCAGACCCGCAGCTCCCATAGCACAACACCTTTTATCACTTTATGTTATCTATCCAAACATAAGATGTATAATCCATACAACATTTGTTCATGTAAATGTATATTTAGATTACATAATAGATTTTTAACTATAGTAATGTGAATAATTATTTATAATAATACAGATATGTTTATAGTTCCTTGTTTCATTGCTCATTTTATATATTATGGGTCAGATGTAAGTCGTAGCTTGATTTCAAATGGATGCTACTTTGCAAAATGGGAGAAAAAATTTAAGTCAGTTACTTTGTTACTCCGCGAAACCAAAGCGTTCAGGTTCGCGGAGTACCAAAAAAGTAATTTTTATTAGCTTGACTTCATTCTCAGGCTCACAACGCCCATAGGTTCGAAAATAAGGTTACATGGCGAACGTAGACATAAAACCAAGTCTATGATGGCGAAATCCTAGCTGAATACGTCCTTTTTTTATAAAAGAAATAATTGCAAAAAAAAAATCACTTGACGGAAAGTAACGATAGGATCGTCGATGAAGCCTGCACACCTAAATAATGCGCGTGTCCTACTCCAGCGTGACCATGGTCAAGGTTTTGAAATTTGACTAGCCAGATAAAAACTCGTTATTTAGTTGGATTGCGAAAAACTAGACATAGTCGGTATAAGGATGTTTTACTGTCCACTATGGAATACCCTTATTTTGGCGGCACCATTTCTCAAGCTCAAGAATCATTGCTCCTAGCGTAGATCTGTCTTGGTTGGTGGCCTTATTCATTTTTATTGTGTACGATTTTTCTACGTAAATGTAATTTATTAATGAAAGTAATTGAATATCCAATATCTATCGAGTTCTTAAGTTTTCGCGATTGTTACACATAGGAAATGAAACTATTTTTCCGGATTTATAGCCAAAGTTTCGGGCACTTTACAAGTCCCATATAGAGTGTATGATCTATGCGTCCCATGATCACGGTCGACTGGCGTTTTAAATCTGGAAAAATAGTTTCATTTCCTACATCCAACCAATATCTTCTAAACAAATGAGCGACTATATATAATAATTCTAAAATTTCGCCACTAGAACCATTAGAACCGACTTTTTACACTTGAAACCGTTATTTTTAAGCTAATTTTCAAGTTACTGCTCGACCTTCCTGAGAAAAACGAGCAAGAAACTCTAGGGATTGCTCTTTTCAAATAAATTTAAATGCTATGGAATACACTTCGAATCATAATTGTGTGGAACCTAGACTCTTGTTGTCTTTCCATACTTCTTTATCTAAAACATACTCTTCAATTTTGTTATATGACTTTTCAATTAAAATACTTTTAATGTAAGTTTCAAACCTAGGTAATGATAATCTTAATTATATTCTCCGGAATCTTATTGTAAGAACGTATACAGTTTCCCATAAAAGAATCGTTTACCTTAGTCAAACGAAATCGTGGTACCTGTGCCATGAGTTTGGATTTAGTTCCAAGGTTAATATTATATATCGTCTTTTTTAATGAAAATAAGTATATTTTTATGGGTATACAAAATATTTGAGTAAATGTACTGTGATGCCCCAGTCATAATACCAGTCTCCTTAAACTTTTCTCTAAGAGAAGCCCGAGAACCTAAACAGTACACAGAACGAATCGCTCGTTTTTCAACACAAATATGATTTGTATATCTGCCGCTTTACCCCACATGAGAATCCCGTAGGACATTATACTATGGAAGTAACTAAAGTACACTAGTCTAACAGTAGCAACATCGGTAAGCTCACGTAGGTATTCAACGGACTGCGTTTGCAGCAGAGCTTAATATGCTAGCTAAGGAAGATATATATGTGGAAACCATTGAAGTTTACTATCTAAGGTCCCTCCCAAAAAGCTTTATTAACAAGGTCGAACTTTTCTCCATTTATTTGTGTGGTTGGACTAGTCGATTTTACATTAGGTAATTTAAATTTAACACATTTTGTCTTCTTGGCATTGAGCAATAAATTGTTAACATTAAACGAATAAACTACCTTTGAAAGGGTATCGTTAATATTATGTAATATATAATTGTCATGTCTGTCTGTTTTAAAAATCAAGGATGTGTTGTCAGCAAACAATACTATTTCGCAAAGGTCCTTAACAAAGAATGGTAGATCATTTATATTAATGAGAAATAAGAACGGTCCAAGTATTGAGCCCTTTTTTTTTTCTTTTTTTTTTTTTTTGACGGGGGAAATCTTTATGGATACCCCTGAGCCCAGGGAGACTCAGGGGTTATGTGGGGACTCTCCCTCCAGACTTGAGGGCCTACCCCACTAAAACCCCCCCCGGGTTTCCCTCTCGCCGGTTGAGTCGGCGCCGTGGGATCAGTGAACATTCACCACGACGCCGCCCGGCCGCCCTAGCTTACGCCAGGGCTCCCGCGCCAACGGAGGGGCGAGTCGGTTGTCCTCCGACCCGCCCCCCAGACGAGTGAGGCCGTGCAGTGCAGGCTCCGGAGTCCCTGTCCAGAGCCCGCTGGTCTCACTAGGGGATCAGGCGAGCAGCGAACTGCCTTCGCCTTCTCCCCGTACGTCTGCGCCGGAGCGGGTGCGCGTCCGCCGCGTCCTCGCGCACCCGCTCCGCGGCCTCCTTTTGCGACATAACCTCTGCGCAAAAGGAGGCCACCTCCTCCCAGGACTCCTCGCTTTCGAGCATGGCGGCAACCACGCTCGGCAGCGAGAGGTCCTGCCCTACAGTCCCCGTCAGAGTGCGGCGCTGCTCATCCCACCGGCTACACACCTCTAGGGTGTGCTGCGCGGTGTCATCCGCAGCGCCGCACTCGTGACACGACGGGGACGGTTCCCTCCTCGCCACCTTGTGCAGGTAGTGACCGAAGCAGCCGTGCCCGGTCAGCACCTGCACAAGGTGGAACGACAGTGGCCCGTGGGACCGGTTTACCCACTCTACGAGGACAGGGCGGATCGCCTCTATGGTACGAGCGCCATAGGGGGGATCCGCCAAGCCCTCTTTCCACCGGTCCCGCATGCGCTGCGCCGCGAGGCGACGCTCCCGCTCCACCTCTTGGGGAGCGGGTCGCTCGCCTCGGTCCCTCATTCCCCGCCGGTAGGTGCGGACCGCCGCCAGGACCTCTGCTTCGTCCCACGGCGGAGTACCGGCGAGGACGCATGCGGCAGCGCAGGCCACCGTCATGTACGCCCTGCACATTCGCAGGGCGACCTCCTTGGGCCTCTGGGGCCTCCTCAGCAGCGACTTCGTTGCCGCTGATAAGGCCCCACTCCAAATGGGAGCCCCGTATAAGGCCATACTCCGGGTCACCCCGGCGTATAGCCTTCTGCATGGGGCTCCCGGCCTCCCGAGGTTGGGCAGGAGCCTGCTCAACGCCGATGCGGCGCCCACTATTCGGGGAGCAAGTTGCCGGAAATGCTCCCCGAAGTTCCATCGCCGGGACAAGTCCCAGATATTTCATCTGGGACTTGAGCGGGACCGATACTCCTGCGATGGAGATGTGGGCGCCTGCCGGCACCGCCCAACCTCTACCCCTCCCGCCGAAGACGGCCACATCCGTCTTCGGCACGGCGA